ATTCCAAATCTAACCGTGTATTTAGGTTTTTAATTTTGGGTCCTGTTTTTTAAATTGGTCTATATTAAGGTCCAAAGGGTCCAAAATTAAACTTAGTTTGATTTAAACAAAAATTGAATTCTTGGGGTTCTTTGATTTGCTGAATCTAAACATGTGTTTAGATTTTTGATTATGGGCCCAGTTTTCAAGTTGGTCCAAGATAGGGTCCAGTATTTAAACTTTGTTTGATTTCAACAAAAATTGAATATATGGGGTTCTTTGATATGCTGAATCTAAACATGTATTTAGATTTTTGATTATGGGCCCAGTTTTCAAGTTGGTCCAAATTGGGGTCCAAAATTAAACTTTGTTTGATTTCAACAAAAATTGAATATATGAGGTTCTTTGATATGCTGAATCTAACCATGTATTAAGATTTTTTATTTGTAGGCCCCGCTATCAAATTGGTTCATATTGAGGTCAAAAGGGTCCAAAATTATACTTTGTTTGATATCATCGAAAATTGAATTATTGGGGTTCTTTAATATGCCAAATCTAACCGTGTTTTTAGATTTTTAATTTGGGTCCCGTTTTTTAAATTGGTCTTCATTGAGGTCCAAAGGGTCCAAAATTAAACTTAGTTTGATTTTAACAAAAATTGAATTCTTGGGGTTCTTTGATATGCTGAATCTAAACATGTGTTTAGATTTTTGATTATGGGCCCAGTTTTCAAGTTGGTCCAAGTTGGGGTCCAAAATTAAACTTTTTTTGATTTCAACAAAAATTGAATATATGGGGTTCTTTGATATGCTGAATCTAACCATGAATTTAGAATTTTTATTTGTGGGCCCCGCTATCAAATTGGTTCATATTGAGGTCAAAAGGGTCCAAAATTAAACTTTGTTTGATTTCATCAAAAATTGAATTATTGGGGTTCTTTGATATTCCAAATCTAACCGTGTATTTAGATTTTTAATTTTAAGTCCCGTTTTTTAAATTGGTCTACATTAAGGTCCAAAGGGTCCAAAATTAAACTTAGTTTGATTTTAGCAAAAATTGAATTCTAGGGGTTCTTTGATATGCTGAATCTAAACATGTGTTTAGATTTTTGATTATGGGCCCAGTTTTCAAGTTTGTCCAAGTTGGGGTCCAAAATTAAACTTTGTTTGATTTTAACAAAAATTGAATATATGGGGTTCTTTGATATGCTGAATCTAACCATGTATTTTGATTTTGGACATTGGACCATAATAGGTAAATTAAAATAATTCAAGTTCTTAGACCACATTCTTTCTGTGTCAGAAACCTATGCTGTGTCAAATATTTAATAACGATCCAAATTCAGAGCTGTATCAAGCTTGAATGTTGTGTCCATACTTGCCCCAACTGTTCAGGGTTCGACCTCTGCGGTCGTATCAAGCTGCGCCCCAGCGAAGCATTTTATTAAATTTGGATTTTGGCTTATTTTCACCTTTTTCAAACACGATATAAGATATCGACAACATATTTTTACTTGATTGTTAGTTGCGACATGTCGTAACACATACATATTGGTTTAAAGGGCATGCTTACATCAAATTAGAGTTTCCTCCCTTCTTTTATTTAAAAATATGCATATGGTGATATAACTCATGAATCAAATATATATAAGACCTAGGGTCTTTTGATTTGAGGTCCTTGGTTGATGACCTTGAAATTGAGCTCAAGGTCATAGGTTAAATTGACGTTCTAGATTTTGACATTTGCTTTTACCTCATATGTATACATGATAAAGCCATGGGACTTTTTGCATTAGGTTTCATGCCATTTAACCTTGGAAAAGTCAACTGGAAGTGACCTTGTGTAAACCGGAAGTAGCTATTTTTTGTACTTAATTCATATAAAAGTTTATAGAACCAGATATTTTTGGTATCAGTGTCGATTAAACGTTTGAATAATACCAGAAGTAACATTTTTCAAACCGGAAGTAACAAATTATCTACCTTATTTAAAAAATATTGTATAGAAACCATATATTTTTGGAATCAGCTTACAATAAGCTATCATTTGACGTTTGAAATGACATTTTAAACCGAATTTTCCTATTTTCATATTGAAATACATGTTTTTTTGTGCAATTGGTTTTTAATATTATACAAGGGTTATTCCTCAATATTAGTGCATACAAATAAATCTTTTGTCATATTTCAAAATTGAAGTAAAGTTGAAGGTGAAAGTCACACAGCAAAAATCTAAGAGAGCAGACTCTTGGTAATCGTTTTCAGTACTAATGTCACATTAAAATCCTTGTTTCTAGTATAAGTTCCAATGAAGCTATATGACAATGAAATCATAATTTCTGTAAGCTATATCTAGACTATTGATTGATGTTTTTGTGTCACATATAGATTATTCACAAATCTATGTCAATTATGCTTAAACTACATACAACAGCTATTGACCCATACTGAATTCTCTTTATCTTTTCTAGTCAGTTAAACCAATTAATTTATCTCAGCAGGAGACTGCTCTATAGAAGATAATATGATGTAAAACTATCAAAAAACTTCTTCAGACTGTTGAAATTAAAGGGTTAATTGTTATTAAAAAAAAAAGTTGATCAACTGGAAAATATCCTCATCAGTTTTTACTCATTTCAGAAATAGATGTACGACATTAGATATATTGACTTCTAGATATACGGCATAAGACATATTGACCTTAAGATTTGTATGACATAAGATATATTGACCTCTAGATGTATGACAATAGACATATTGACCTCTATATGTATGACATGATATTTTGACTTCCAGATGTAGGACATAAGATATATTGACCTCTAGATGTATGACATAAGATATATTGACCTCTAGATGTATGACATAAGACATATTGACCTCTAGATGTATGACTTAAGATATATTGACCTCTAGATATATGACATAAGACATATTGACCTCTAGATGTATGATATAAGATATATTGACCTCTAGATGTATGACAAAAGATATATTGACCTCTAGATGTATGACATAAGACATATTGACCTCTAGATGTATGATATAAGATATATTGACCTCTAGATGTATGACATAAGACATATTGACCTCTAGATGTATGATATAAGATATATTGACCTCTAGATGTATGACATAAGACATATTGACCTCTAGATGTATGATATAAGATATATTGACCTCTAGATGTATGAAATAAGATATATTGACCTCTAGATGTATGACAAAAGATATATTGACCTCTAGATGTATGACATAAGACATATTGACCTCTAGATGTATGATATAAGATATATTGACCTCTAGATGTAAACTATCAACTAATTCTGTAACCTTGACATAGTTATTGCCCATCAACCTGATTTGGAGGACCTCTAGTGGTGGTAGAGAACACAAAGAGCATTGTTTGATTAATGATATGCAAGAGGCTGTCAAAATGAAGCAAGCCAAGGATTTTATTATATTATTAATGTCATTGTTATAGCAATGAAGAGCCATAACACCTGAACAGCAAAATTGAAAACCGTCAATGTAGAACTTTACACCCTGTTTTCATCAGTAACAACATATTGCTATTTGAAAAGCATTAGTAAAACTCATAGGAGAGCTTTTTCATGATGTCACAACTGCAATTATTATGATGTCATGGATAATATAACTATTTGTTTTTAATTTTGCATTACCCAACTTTAATACAGACATCAATAAAAATATTAAGTAAAAATTTTATATTTCATTAACAAAGTAGGCCAAATAATTGCACCTAGTCCTTTGAAAAGCATTGGCTGTGTGGTTCATAATTTATTGCACAGAAATTATATAAAGTGCCATTGCCCAATCAATCAAGAACCATAGTGAAAATCATCATTATGGAACTTGACCTCCATTTTGTCACAAGTCACAACACACTTTGAAAATGCACTGGTTGAAGGGTTCATAATATATTGCATGGAAACAGCAAAAAGTGCCATTTTCTAATCAATCAAGGAAGATTACCTTTGAAAAACGAAAGAGAAAATCATTCATATAAACTTAACCTCAATTTTACCATCAGTAAACAACATATTAAAATTGAAAAAGCATGCTATTGAACAGCAATGGAGACTATTGCATTATGTAATACTAAATGTTTAAAGACAGCAGTTCCTATTTTATACAAAGAGCTTGTGTCTGTACCAAGTCATGGGCAATATTTTTTTCTTTGTTGTTTTGACTTTGTGCTTTTATTTTATTTTATTGGTTGATGTGGTCAGCTGTACAGTTTGATAATTTTTTTATGATTCCTGCTATACTTTTATATGTAGAATATGTAATGTATAATGAAACTAAGAGGCTCTCAAGAGCCTGTGTCGCTCACCTGTGTCTACTGTGGTTTTGGAAATAAAGTAAAATAAGGTTAAAATCATATAGATACCCTAATAAAGATTGAGGCCAAGTTTGGTTTAATTTGGCCCAGTAGTTAAATTAAAAGCAGAAGAAATTTGAAAAAATTTACAAAAATTACCAATAAATTGCAGAATATAACTTTAAAGGACTCCAATAAGATGACAATTGCCAATTTTGGTCATGTTGACTTATTTGTAGATCTTTCTTTGCTTGATATTTTTGCTGTTTACAGTTTATCTCAATCTATAATGATATTCAAGATAATTAACAAAAAATAAAAAATGTCCTTTCCTCCACTCCAAAATTTATTCTTGCCCTGATGAATATTTTTACCCTGTCAGATTTGCTCTAAATGCTTTAGTTTCAGAGATATAAGCCAAAAACTGCATTTTACCCCATAGTTCTATTTTTAGCCATGTCGGCCATCTTGATTGGTGGTCGGGGTCATCGGATATATTTTTTAAACTAGATACCCTAAGGATGATTTAGGCCATGTTTGGTTTAATTTGGCCCAGTGGTTTCAGAGGAGAAGATTTTTGTAAAAGTTACCTTAATGGACGACGACGGACGCCAAGTGATGAAAAAAGCTCACTTGACCCTTTGGGTCAGGTGAACTAAAAATGACAGAAGACAATAAACCTGAGTATGTTTTATTTGTCATGATACACAAATATTGTAAATATAACATATTTATCTACATTGTCATTGCTATACAGTTAATAAAATGGGTTTTTTCGTTGTTTATTAAAAAATCTTTTTGTTTAGATTCTCATTACCCCTAAAAAAATCCTTAAACAGCATCTACAAAAAGGCTTTAACATATTAAGAAAGAAAAAAACTGTGTCAACGGACAAAATTATGTCATAAGGTTCGTGTATGATATCTGTATTATATTTATAAGATAGCAAAAAAAAAAAAAAAATCATAACAATTACATTCACCAAATATAATCATTCAAACTTTTTAGGAGCAAACTCAAAATTACTTCTGGAACTATTAAATTACTTAATATTAACAAAAATAGAATCCATGAACTATCAAATGATTGGCTTTTGAATTATTAAACAATCTGTATCTAAATCATAATGAAAAATTTTAAGTCCCTCATGTACCAGAAAATACATATAAGATCAGTAACTATGCAAATTATTTGTTTTTTTTCCTGAAAAGTTACAGAACCCCACAAATAAACTGTTCAAATACTAATACATATATCATAGTTTAAATTATATTTTGACTGTACTAATAATTCTGAATTGTTTGTCTATATCCAAGTGAGTATTTTTGCTGGGGAAAAATAACGAGAATCTAAAATTTCATAACATCATATACTGACATTTATTGAACAAAGTGGACATTACTGGCTATAGTCCAATAAAATTACACATTCTTTTTTTCTGGAATAGCAAATTAAAAAAATAATATTCCTTGAAAAAGATAAAAAAAATTATTTCAATTAAAAACTGCAGAATAACCCTGTTTCAAAACACTAGATCTCAAAAAGTTAACTCAAAACAACAAAACAATGAGTCATTCTTTTCACAAATACAACCTAAAACCCAATTAAAAAATATTGTTTTTACAAGTTGAAATTATACGACTTACAATAACCCTCATATTGCTATTTAATAGTCATGGAATACTAATATCTAATGTTTGGTCTAAATTTTTTAAAACAAATGTGTAAAATAAATATAAAAAAATGAGCAATAATGACAACTGGAATTAAATGAGGTTTAAAAACAGAATTAAATCAATATTTTAAATAAAACTTTAGAACAAATGATTGAAATTTAAAAAAAAAATTGTCTAAGCATAAAAAAATAAGTATTAAATATTATGGAATGTGACAAAAGATTTTAAAAAAATACCTCCATATTTGTTTTCCATTTCTTAAAAATCTGTGTATTCTTAATATTCAACATTTGTTGCTCAATATTGGTTGAATATTTCAAATTATTTTATCCATTTCATTAAATGTGTATATATGCATGATAAACAACTAAAACAACCTGATGTTAAAATGCAAAATATGTATATATATTGACTATAGTATTGCACTTAATATTATAAGATTATAAGATTTACACTAATATACAAATTAATAATTAATCTACAATTTAAACAGCTATCTACAATTCATAATTACAAAAACATGAACAGAATATAAATACTTAAACAAGACAATATAAAATAGCACTGCTGAAATGATTTGGCATAACAAAAATGTTTTTGTATACTAGCTGTAGCAAACAGGGATGTCAACCATGATAGCTTTAATCAAATATAAAACAGAGAATAAATGTCTTTCTCAGAAGAACAAACTACCCTGTGAATTTATATATAACAAATTAAGCACCATATATATTAATATTTTTAACATTGATTAAACATGCATATGATGTCAATTTTCAAATTCTAATTTTTATAAAATCCCATTTGTAGTTAAAGGGAAATTATCCAGTGATCCTCCTCTACTGAGGAAAAAATTGTTTAAATAATAAAAAGGTTCAGGTATGTAATTTGTCCTTTTGCATTAGTGAAAAATGTCTTAGTAGAGTCTTTTTAACTTACAAATTACAAGGCCTTTCAGTTTCACTGAAACATGCAAAGAATATCGAAAAGCAATGCTAATGTTTATAAAATTTAAGCAAAAACTAAAAACAAAATGCAATGAAAAAGTACTTAAATTTTGTTTATTATACTGGCATATAACTTTAACAAATAAAATGTATATGTGACTCATCAATTAAAGTAAAAACCTGGGGTCTCACCTAAAAGCTTATATATTATGATTTTTTGACTTTTGCATAGATTTTAAAACAGGATCCTATTTCTGGGAGAAATGGTACCATTAATACTATAAAAAAAATTATACATTGGATAATTAAATATACAATATATATATGATACAATTTGAGTATGAACAATTTCAAAATGTTTACTGTCATAATCACTTAGAATATCACCCTGAAACAATTCATACTGGATGGTGTTTAACTTTTCTGCAAACATTCTTTAATACTTTAATTAGCTAAATAAAAATGTAAATTTTGCCAGCATTAGTATGATAAAGTCACTATAGAAGTGTTGTTTATCTTCAATACCCTTTGTAATGCAAATGTAAAAGAAACAATTGTTTCTTTAATTAACATTTCACACCAGTTCATAGAATATTATACAATGCTTTGTTCTGATCTTAAAAAAGTTCATCCTTTTGTTTCAGCTGTAATTTATTCTATGCCATCCTTTATTTGGCTGCAGAAAATATAATCACCAATACAATTATAAATGGATGTTGAAATGAGGTAGAAGTCCATGAGCAACACATAGTTACACATACAGATATTACCAAAACCGACATATAATAGCCACAGAATGGAACTCTTTGTATGATGCAAGTAGATTTTCATTTGCACAATTTAGAGTACTATAAGTAGGAGAAATATATTGGTGGGTATTTATAAAGTTTTAAAACATCCAACAAGAAAATGTCTGAAACAGATTTATAAATTGTTAGTATTTCAATACAACAATATGCATATTTTGAACAGCACCGTAAGACTTTTCCAAACATAAAGTTTTCTACTATGATTATAGGTTTTAACATTTATGCCCAAATATTTTAACCCAAATGAACAGTTCATGAGGTAATTGGTAAAGTTAACAGTCTGTGTCATCATCATGTCCCGAAGTGGAAACTGACACACGAATGTTTTCTTTATTTTCAATTTTTACAGCTGGAATAATATTATTGTCACTATCAGTATTGAAAATTACATCGGTTGTTGATAAATTATTGGGCAGTTTGATGGAATCTGGAGAAGAACCGAGACCATTGTCCTTCCCATTGGCAGTATATGGAGGTGGTGGTGTTGAACTACGACTTGACGATTCTGTCAAAGACTGTAATGACTGCAGTGATTCAGAATTGTCCGACAAGTTTGCTAAATTTTCTCTTGCTCGAAAGAAATTTGATTTTTTCAGTCCTTTTTGTTCATTTTCATCCTCATTGATACTATCATTTGATGAAATAATATCTTCATTCGTACGGGAGTTAATGGTATCGCTATCATCAATTACATTATGATCTCGCCAATCTTTAACCGAATCATCCTGTGGAATATCAGAAAATGAACCTGACCTAACTAACCTTTTTCCTGACCACTCTAACAAATTGTCAGTGGTATCTTTCTTCACATTTTCTGTGAAAGAACCTGTTCTTGTCATTTGCATTGTATTTTCAAACTGTTCTAAATTTCCAATTTTATCAAAACAAGACATTGTCCTCAAAACAGATGGTGATTTTGAATCAACGGCAACCGTTCTCACTGATCCAGTCGTAAAATCATCCCTCACTTCAAAAGCTATGCCTCTTTTTTGTAAATCCTTTCCTTGTTTTGATTTTTGGCTCATTTGAGTTTCTATATCATTTAATTCATTCATAGATATATCATAAGACATACCACTTATTTTTTCTTTCATATTCCTGCTTGGGTATGGTGTAGAAAACAAGCTTGGGTTTGATGCTGTCACATTAAAGTCAACTTCTGAGGTATTTTGTAATTTTGATTCATTTTTTTCATCACCTGAGCTAGACAATGATGAACTGCTATTGGATGCTTTAATTACTGTATCATTACATACATCTGATCCTATACTTGAATTTTCACCATTTTCAGTAGGGGTTCCTTTAAATGCTATCATATTTGACAATGACTGACCAGAAGAATCTTTCTTTGATTGCTCTGGAGTAATAAGTTCCTCATCAACAATAGGTCTATTATCAGGAGTTGTCGGTCTCAGAGTACTTTCCATGTCTGACAAGCTGTAATCCACAAGTGTTAGGCTGCCAATATCCGGTGATGATCTTGAGGTATCATTTTTTTCAGTAATATCCACATCACTGAATTCAATTTTGTCACTCATGACTGAAAAATTCCTATCTTTAATTGCAGGTGTGATAATTTCCTCAGATACTTCATCTATAAATACAGAGGACTTTGGTTGTGATTCTGATAACGGTATGTCTGTGTCCGTGAACACTTCCTGTACTACTTCACTGTCTGGTGACTGTAATGAACTAACTCTTGGACTGATAGAAATGTCACTTGACGTTACACTGCTTCCACTAGACCTGCTCTTTTTCCTCCTTTCTGGTTTGATTGGAGCAGATTTTGATTCCACAACAACTGCATCTAAGTCTAAAGAACCCACTGACTTGGGAGTTTCAGTGAATGAAGTTTCAGCAGATGAAACAACAACTTTACTATTGTTTGAGTCATCATTTGGATCTTCATAACTTAGTCTCAACATATCTAGCTTATCTTGTTCATTCAGTTTATCAAACAAATTTGCAGCAAAAGCTGTTGCATTTGATGTGTCATGTTTTTCATTTCCGTCCACCATATTTACAGTGACTGATGGGATATTCACATTAGTTGGTTCTCTTTCTACAGTCACTACTGTTTCTTTGAAGACATCACTACCATTTGTTAACTTTAAATCATTCTTACTTCCATTTTCTTGAATTGTAGGGAAAGCCTCCCCTTTAGCAGAAAAAGACGCTACAGCTGATGACCTCTGATGATTTTCCTTCTTTTTTTCTGGCCTCATTTCACTGAAGCTCCTTTGTGGCATCAATGTAGAATCTTTCCTCATTTTCTTTAATGTATCCATTGACTGACTTCTATACAAAGGATGACTAAGAGTAGAAGGGGACTCACTGACACGACGATCTTTACGTACAAGTTTCTCTTTTTGCAATGTGACTCTTACAGGATATGGTGAAGCATAACTAAGAATAGTAAGTGCATCTTCATACACCATGTTCTCAAATGAAATGGTTACACTCAAAATGCGGTCACCTGAAAATTAAAATTTATACCAAATAAGAAATTTTACACATATAGGACATGACTCATTGAATGCAATATTACCTGAATAACTAGATCTATATATGCTGAATTATTTCTCTATTTACATATTATTTCCTTTACTTTTTTTGTTTTGCTGTTAGTTTAGACAACTATGTCAATGTATCTTGTATCGTCTAGGTAGTCTTGTGGAAGTGTGCATGTCTCAAGTGTGCGAGGTGATGGGTTGGATCACCAACTGGGTCCAAACAAAGACTTTTTTATTGGTATTAGCTGCTTCTTAGCTAAGCATGCAGCATAAAGAAGTAAGAGCAAAGACTGGTCAGCTGGGAGTTAGAAAAATGTGTCTGGGTAAGGTAACATGTCTTCCTGCAGACTGTTATCTTGTGAAGTAGCATGTTAAGAATCCAGATCAGCATGTTGCTCTAGCACAAAGCAGGGTTCATTTTCATTTTACTTTAACATGTTCTAGTTTTGAAAATGCTTTTAATTTGCTGCTGGATGTTTAACAGCCATCAATCAATGTATCTTGTTTTCTGTTACAGTTTTGTTTTATCAACTTATTTAATGAACAATCTCCTAAATTATGTTACCTCAACATAAACATATTCATGACACAAATATCAGTCATGCAGTATGGTACGTTTGGATACTAGTAAAGAAAATAAAAATAAAAAAGTAATGTGGAACTACATGTGCTTATTTCAATGTTTTTTTTATAACATCCACCTAACTTTTTATTTCTTTTGTTTTTGTTTTTGCACTTTGTAGATAGCATTGGAAAAAAAAACCAAAACATTATATTTAATTTGTATGTTCCATATCTATTCTGATAGATATTCTCATGTAAAATTAAGCGACATACCAACTTTAAATTGTCCTGACTCTACAGCTGGTCCCCTGTTGTGAACCTGACTGACAAATATACCATCCCTCATGCTGCCAGCTATATTAAATCCAAGACCAATGAAATCCTGACTCTGCAGCCAAACACTGCTAACCTCTGGGTCCTTAAAATAGAAACAATAACAGCATGACAAGCAACTCTCAAATTTAGAATTCTGATGAAAACCTAGGTTTTCTGCCTAAGTTTGTTCACATGTGGCTCCTAAATTGAATACAGAACTAATGGATCATATAGAGGTCTATATACTTTAATCTAGGCTTATGAAAACTTTTTCTCCATCTTAAATTTCCAAATTTGTTAGTTAGTTCTACATCCTGAAACTATAACAAACTACTACGATTCTTCTAAAAAAAAATAGAACATTTATTAACAGCCATCTCTTTTCTACAAACAAACAAGACAGATTCTTCACAATAATGTGGGTTTGCTGACAGAATTTTCTTAAAACAGCAATTTTCTAATGAAACAACAGCGAGCTGATTTCTGATACACATACAATCTGTCTCTTTTCTTTGAACCTGCAATTCTTCTGTGAATAAAATATTTTGATTGTAAAAGAACATGTTTTTCTGTCGAGGAAATCTGTACATATAGTTTGCCTTTTACAACTCTATGAGTATAAATCTCATATTACTATCAAAAGTCAGTATTTATTCCTAAACCTATAAAACACCAAATACTCATTTTACATACAAAGTATATTCATTTGTGACATACAGAAGGAGATATTGACAGTTGTCACCTAGGTTCTACATTTATCAAATATGTATGAAATCAAATCGTTCGTTAATTTTGAAGGATTTCCTACTTTATTATTAATGTTTACCCTATTTAAATTCTGAAGGACCTTTCAAGACCGATAACATTGAAGAGGTCTTCATTTATAAATGATATGTTATCAATAATTTCTTGTCTTTTTAGTAGGTAGTTGGAATTCCTGTGTGTGAATAATCCTCTTTAAAAACTGGCCTACTGTTTGAAGTGGGTATTTAATTTAATATTTCGATAAAAGGGACATTATTCATAATGTCATATTTCATTTAAAAGATGGTTTATAAAGTAAAAATTGCACTGGAAATCGCAGTAATAAAAAGCTACGCTGTTCTTGGTAATGCTAAGATTTTATTTAAATTCACTGCTATGCTATGCATCAAAGTCAGAATCTCTAGTATTTAAATACACAAGGCCAAATATACTACTTTTGACCTCATTTTTGTGCCAGTTGACCTTATGATGTTTAAGAAACAATTCCTTTTGGTCAGTTAATTACACCAAACATTTTCTGTTGTTACACTAAAAAAAAATGGGAAAAAGCTTACTTTCATCAACTGCAGGTAAACTCATGATTGGTGTATAGGGAAGTTTTTCGAACACCTTTGTTCCTTTTTGCAAATAACATGTACTTAGGTAATTCTCTATTGTGTTACAAGAACTAAAGTGCTTGTGAGCACTGAATGGTAAAGATTACTTTCATTTTGCAAAATGAACTTAAAATTAAACATTGCATTGAATTAAGTTCAGGCAATATTTTGAATCAGAGTTATCTTCCTCTGTATATAAATGTAGTTTAACCCCCCTTTTTTTATAGCAATTAGATTCATACACCATGCACAACTTATGTAATTTTCAATAAAATACTATTCTTCACAAGTATGGGTATACTTATAAATATGGTTAAAAAATCTGAGCATATATCATTTATAAATAGCTGGCATGTACATGGACATGATCTTAAGAATGCTCTCCTCGCTGTGCTCTCAAAGGTAGCTAGTCATGAGACTTGGCAAATATAGCTATCAAGTCAGTGAAAATAGAGTTTTGATTGCATGAAATTCATTCTTTACCCCAAAAACTGTGCCCAATTCAAACTTGTTTGTTACAACTTTCTGTGAGCTCTCTTCACAACTGTTTATGGAAACTATAAATGCCCAGTCATGCAGTTCTGAATTTTAACACAGGTAGACAATTTTATTTGATAGTTGAGGGGAAAAAATCATCAAAATTGACAAACAAATTTCTTTGTATCACCTAAAGATCAGTCATATTAAAAAAAAACAATGATGTCTGGGATAATTGGTATTAAAATTAAATAATTACAACTTTTTCAAAGAAAACATTTTAACTATGATCATTATGACTACAGTGATTTTACAAGGGAAATAACCAAAATTGATATAATTTGTTCATGTTTAATTTATTAATTGTGGTAATAGGTATCTATAAAGAACTAAGGATTTTTCTACGTTACATTCAGTATCTACTCTGTAAATTGAACCTTTTTAGTATCATATACACAAATACTATTCAAAAGGATCTAAGATTATGATTCAATAAATATTTGTCAAAAAGTTTATTTATGGCAAATAGCTGTTTTGTATAAATGGTCATGTATTTACCTTTTAAGTCTATAAAAAATATACATTTCTATGATGACCTCATAAATTAAATCTGAATTATGTTTGTTTGTATGAAAGTTTGTATAATGACACATACTGTAGGATGAAGGTGTAAACAGCTAAATGATAAATATTAACTTAGAAACCTTATTTATCCTGATCTATTTAATTTTCATTTGAAAATTACATAATGAATCAATCTAAAACATGAAAAACTTATATAGCAATCCACTACAAGTTATTTATTCTAAATTGAATAAATTATATAACCAACTGTATAGGAATTAAATCACTTGCAATGAATGTGACTGACCCTTCTTTTTTGCACTTTTTTCAATTATCACTAACATAATTTAAAAATGCTCATCCGGATACAAAAGGCATCAATTCAAACTGATTCATATATCCACCCTTCCTTTGAGAAAAATATTTACATAATCACTGTAAGATCTACCTGAAATGAGACCTTTTATGTCTGTATACCCTCTCTACAAAGAAAGTTGCTTTGTCTGCTGTAAATATACACATATTTTCCTACAGATCTGTGCATGCTTGCTTTATGCAAGTTATTTATGTCTTGAATCATGACTTTTCCCAGATACAGCCCAAAGAAATTAGAATGAAAATGCTAGCGTTAGTTAAAATTTGAAAACAAATTATATGTGACAATGAGAAAGTTAGTGTATTATTAATTATAATTCGTAAAGGAGAAGGTCCAGTAAGGGCTAGTTTTGGCCTAATATTCGAAGTACATCTAATGAAAGATTTTTGACATTTTTTTAACACTTAAGTGTCTACTTCAGTCGATTCAATTAGTGTATGTAATAGATTTGGACTGATTTGGTAATTAAAGACACTCAAATGGAGGCTTAAATATGAAAAATCTATCAAATATGCCATAAAACGTCACTTTTCAGATGGTTTTTGTCTAAAATGTAAGTGGCCGCATTCGTGTTCAGTCTCAACCTTTATATATGTTATGTATTATCATCAAATACAACATATATTTAAATATTAAGACTGAGCACAAATGCGGCCACTTCCATTTCCAAGACAAAAACCGCCTTAAAATTAGCACAAATGCTAAAATTGTGAAGATTTCAGTAATATTGCATGAATTTATGTTGCTATTACCTGATGAATGTGCATTGTATTGTCAAAATCAGCCAATAATTATGAAACAGAAGTATTCTTCTTTCCAATTAATAGCTTAAAATTTACATTTTAACAAATTTGTAAAAATGCTATATTTTGGTGCCAAAAAGAAGTCTTAGGGAGCTACCATTTGATTTTTAGGGGGGGGGGCTAGGATGAAATTTGAAAAAAAAGACAGGACAGGAGTTTTGAGTTAAAAAAAAAGGCAGGATGAGGAACTTGACAGTAAAAAAAGGCAGGATGACAATTTATGTTAAAAAAGTCAGCATAAACTAATAAAAAAAGGAAGCACCAAATAGAATGAAAATAAAAAGGCAGGACAGAGATTACAACTAAAAATGCAGGACAAAATTTTTCATCCTAGCCCCCAATAAAAATCAAATGGAGCCCTTACCGGGCCTACTCCTTTCCACTGATCTTTGATATGATTCTATGTGTTAATTCCTAACTTTCAAGCACTCAAATGACTGTAATCTATTTTGATTGGTTGCCATGCTCCTTGTGATATATTTCTCTATATATGTTACAGGGAATGTTTCGTTACTTATTTGACATGAGACAAAATATGATTTGATGTATACTTTCCAGACAAACCAGTCACAAAATCTAGATAGTTTTATTGTTCAGCCTGGTTTTCGTACCTGTATAATATTGGTCTAGAAAGGCAAATGAACCTGCAAACTAAATTTAATCTCACTGTTTTTTTGTGCCTGTACAAAGTCTGACTACTTAGATTATAAGTTGTTCCTTTTTAAAAAGACACCTTTTTTTTTTGCATTCTCTACTGTTTGCCACCAACTTTACAGTTAATATGTCATAAAAAAGGTTTTGATTAAAATACTTGAATCCAGCATGATGTTGAATTATTACAATATGATCCAAAATAAATACAAAATCAACTGAAACTCTGTTTAAGATTTATAAGTTATCCAAAATGAAGCGGCCATGTATCAAACTAACACCGAATTTGGGAATGTCCATTAATTCTATCTTCATCGTCATGTTTTACCATGACATTAATGTAGTAAAGAAATCAACTGTGTTTTGCAGAATTTATCTTATACTCTTTTTTGAAGCTCAATGAACATTTTATCTTTTGATGTGTGCATACACTGATTTTTGTGTGTTAAGCATCTAAAGGCCTTCTGATTCCAAATTATTTATTTAGGTTGTTTCCACTATGCAATGCCTGTAAAAAAAATCATTGATGATGCAAAAAATACCCATATGATGTTAGCAACTCTTAAAAGATAGTTGTTCAAGAACTATTTGTATTTGTTTGTGTGCTCTTTTTTTTTTTTTTTTAGATAATTAATTTGTTGATGGGTGGCTGGTGCAGTTTATTGTTGTGTCCAATAGTTTTGTTAATTCCTATTATATTTTTATGAAATCCATAACAAAATTGGGTAGAAGATAGGCAAATAGGCTTAAATCCTTTTTCCAATACAACATATTTTATTTTCATTTTAACTATCAAACCTTTGTAAGGATACGTTTTAAATTTCAAGCAGAGATTTAAATCATTTGAACTTGTTAAATTCTGACCAATGCT